TCGATCAATATAAAGCTTATATAACTACATGTATAGTCCTTCGGACGCGACGAAGCATCGTAGACCCTTAAATACGATGGCGTGCACGTAAAAGAACCATTGACAGTTGGAATTCATTTGGTGTCCGTTATCACTAGCCCGGTTGGTGTACAAAAATAAGACGTTAAACCCCATTTCATTCATACTTATATAATTAGTATAAGTAATTGGCAGCACTCTACAATTTTATCCTGCATAGAGACGTCTTTCATGGACTGTTTTCAAGTGGTGCTTATGACAGACAGGCAGCTTAAGTTTAGCATATGAGGCTCCCATAAAGACAAGTTATTACGAGGGCTGGATGAAAAGTTCTAAACATATCTGGTAAAGACATGTAGGCCTACAAAGTCAACGATAGCTTCGATTTATTTTTCTGCATAGTCCCCTTTGAGATAACACACTTTCGTCAACTTTATTGCAGGACCTTGATGCTGACCAGGAAAAAATTTTCTTCAGCCAACCACAAAACGTCGTTCATGGCTGATTTGTCGTCAACATTGCTAGGAAAATGATGACCGGCTAGTTCTTTCTTGTTTGGAAAGGGTCTCATCCATCGTACAAATCTGGCCAAAAATTATCAGGGTGTGCTTCAAAACGGTGAAGATTGTCACGGGACCTCAGGAATCTGGAACGTTTTTGATCCGCAGTCAAGAGCTTTGGCACCCATTTTGCAGGAACTTTTGTAACGGCCACTATAGCCATCCCATCTCAATATATAACAAGACATCAAAGGGAAAAGTGACAGACCTATTTTTGAGCCGAAAATGCAAGATACTGGCCCTTTTCCAGCTCCCACTAGAAACGTCATTGTTTTTCGCATGGGTTTTTCTGTCTGGTTTTTTTTTGGGGGGGGGGGGGGGTCGGGGTCAAAATGAAATTGCGGTGACAAAAACATGGACCTTATGTATTAAAAGGTTCATGGTGATGTCCATTCAGAGCTAGCAGAATGCAAGCTCCATCAGCCATGTGCTCTCGTTTCTGATGCTGCCAAGATGAAGTTATTTATGTTTCTTATCTAGGCCATACTCCAAATGGTGAATTCTTGACCTAGTCTATGTTGAGTGGACATTAAAATCCAATCTCTCTCTAGGCAGTCGAAGCAGAACAGTAGAATGTTAAACCCCATTTTATTTCATTTCTCTCTCTAGGCTTTAAGGTCTTTCAGTAATAAAGGGTACATGTCATTAAAGTCTGATTAAAATACACATCTATATTTCGTTTTGTTTTTATACTTTTTCATGGGCTCCACTACATGAAACCTAAGACAAGTAAAACGAAATATTGTACCATAAAAATCAAAACGAAATAGGATCTGTGTTTTAAACTGATTGATGTAATTATATTTTCCACATTAAAGTCCTGTGTATTTCCGGCTAACTGAATGCCACTGAAAAAGAGAAGACAGAGAAATGGGGTTTAGGTCAACACAAACTTATTCTTAATAATTCAGATTAGGCTTAGGGATTATACTTTAACAGTAAGAGAAAATCGGAGGACCCAGAGAATACAAGAGGTTGAGCGGGCAAACCCTACTCCTAGTCCCATATAAGATTGGTATGGAAACCTGGCCACTCAACTTGCTTAGGTAGGGTCTTTAACATGGAGAGAAAATCGGAGGACCTGAAGAAAACAAGAGGTTGATCATGTTCCTGAAGTAACGACTGTGAGTTTCACAACATCTGGCCATTGCTTGTTTACCTTACAATTCCCGAACTTATAGCTATGTTATCTACAGTCACATGAACAGTAGTGTCCAATCAGAGGTTGTGACATCGCGACCTCCACGGAAACCTTGACATTGAATGAACCTTGAACTTTGCAACTCGATTATCTCAGGTAGACATTTTAGCTTGAAAGCGCGAGACTTGGTATTCATGACAATCGAAGAATCTGATAGGCTAACAAGTTGGGCTTGTACCCAATCGAAATTAGTGCTGAAATATGTAGGATTACGTGATAAGATGTACTGATAAGATGTACGTAGTTAAAGCGAGATCAAGCCTTCTATTGAAGATGGAGGTTGATAGGAAAACTAGGCCACTTGACCACTTTAACCCCACCCTGTCAGTATGAAACAACTGAACATGAACATGTTTTTTTTATTTTATTAGGTTTTTTTTTAACATTTTAACAGAAAATATATGGCGACATATTATAACAATATGGTACATATTAGTATTCTCTAAATCTAGGTTTGTACAAAAATCAGATATAACAATATATTATATTTTATATAATTCAATATGAATATTCATCAAAATTAATATTGTATAATTAAAGGACCATTGTAAAGTGAGTTAAAATATTTGAAAAAAGAAATGTGATTCTTTTTACAAACTTAAAGATACATTATGTAAGATTTAGATAAAGAGCTAGCCATTCTTGCTATAATAGTTCGAAAATAGATAATGTAAAATGAATAAATGGAAAATTTCATTCAAATTACTCTATTACGAGCGAAGACATTAGCCTTTGAAGGTTTGACAAGACGTGTGCAATAATTTCAACCACCGTACTGGTTGTTCAAAGCTAAATCTCGCTCCTCCATTTTTAGCTTAAATCAAAATATGACTGATCTGTTCTAATCTATTTAATATCGGAGAAATACGATGCCAAGGAGAGTTGATTGTGGCCTGGATAAGTTAATTTATGTCTAATTAATAATTTAGAAAACATTTCAGGCCTAAAGAAAAACCTGCAATGGACAGATTTAGCTCTCGTATAATGCATCTTTAAAAGAATCTTAAAGATGCATTATGTAAAAGCTAAATCTGCTTATTGCAGGTCTTTCTTTTGGCTTCAAATGTTATATAAATTATTATTTAGACATTTATTCACATGACAAGCCTACATGAAAACAAACGAGATTAAAATATTTAATGATAAAATGAATAAATGAAATGAAATGGGGTTTAACTTCCTACTGTTCTGCTCCTAAACTGGGCTAATGAAGACGGGCATATGCCATACAGTGTGCTATGAGGGAAATTTGGCCCGGGCAGCGGCGCTCAGGCCTATTCTTATATCGAATTCCAACTGCTAAGGGATCTTTTACGTGCACGCCAATATGTACACAGGACCTTGGTTTTTCGTCTCATCCGAACAACTAGACAGCTGTCCTTGTCAGGCCCTCCGTCCTGCATCACTGTCAAGCGGAAACCACACCAGAAAATCTGGATGAACTTTCTCGGCCAATGCAGGGATCGAACACCTGACCTCCAGGTTGGCGAGTCAGCGTCTAACCCACTTAGCCACGTGATCCCCTAAAATGAATAACCTTATTCACGGTTGACAACTACAGTAGCTTTACTACGATATTAAACGATCTATGCTACATCTCCAAACAGTCATAACTTTGCCCAGAATAAAATAATTTGAAGGAAATTTCAATATATTCCGTTTTCATTATGGATTTTCAACTATTATAGGAAGAACGACCAGCTCTTTATCTAAATCTTTACATAATGCATCTTTAACTTTTGGAGAAATTTGCATAATGTATTTGACCCCCTCACATATTATAACAAAAATCATGAGAATGACATCCTCACAAAACCAAGGCCATTAAAACATTGAAGCTTTGGTGAATTTTATGTGTTACTTGTTGAATGACTGGATGTATTACTCAAATTCAAATTGTCATTCCTCACTCAATATCAATAATTCCTCTATGAATTCTACCATATTTGAATTTATACTCAGACAGAACAGTTTTCATGAATATGATCTCTGGTTTTGTGAGGATGCGAAAATGTGTAAATATATGATCCTTGAGCCTTAATTAATCAAGTCCCTCTTCAGGGCTCTTGTTTGTTGTATATTATACCCGTCTTGACTGACCAGCAAACAAATATGACCAGTATGAAATTGTAATTGTCCTATCAGGAGGAGATTGTTATAGATAGAGATGTAATCAATGTAAACTGGTTCAATTTAAAAATAAAATTGATAAGAATTGACAGCCTTGTTTTTGAAAAGCTCCTTTCAAGGTTTTGGCCATATACAGTATAGTATAAAGAACAGACCTCGAGTTCACGAAGCATTCTCAAACTTAAGTTAAGAATTTACTCAACTTTCAATCACTTGTCTATGAGAAATCTCTCTTATCCAGACACACAAAACTTTTCACATAGTTTCTTATGGATGTATTTAATACATTAAAACAACAAAAGTTTTATAAAGAGCTATATTTTAGTTAAAATAAGGCGAACAATTTAATACATTAAAACAACAAAAGTTTTATAAAGAGCTGTATTTTAGTTAAAATAAGGCGAACAATTTAATACATTAAAACAACAAAAGTTTTATAAAGAGCTATATTTTAGTTAAAATAAGGCGAACAATTTTGAGTAAATTATTAAGTCTGAGAATGCTTTGGGAACTCGGGGCCAGGAGTGTTCATGATAAATGATTAAGTAGTTAAAGCCACTGATCATCATTTGTCTAAATATGTAACATTTAATTAATATCAGTAGTAGATAATCTGACCTGGATTCACTGGGATAGGATTTTACCCAATACTTAAAGATGGCATTTTTAAAAAATTTTTATATGGTCTGCAAAATGTTACGAAATCGTTAATTTATCCCATCTTCGTAATTACTAATCATAATGAAACCATATTTGGACCGATATTCCTTTTAGAGATTCAAATTTCACACTATTGTACTTTGCAAGGGATTCAAAATCTCACAAATTACGACCAGTAGCTTTAATATTATTACCAATAAAAAGGTTTGACACGTACAGTTATGAGAGAGAAGTCATCAAGCATCAGTTTGATAATAATGACTTGACTCCCAACGATTAAATCCTGACAGCCAATGAATAATGTTGTTACAGAATGAAATATGAGAAAAGATTTGACCCAATAATGTATTTTACTATATAATAATAAATGCATTATTCATTTAGAAGGCTTGTATTTGCATCTCTACTTCAAAGGACAGTTTGTCATTGGGTTGTTTTTTTCAACTAATAATTGTTACTTTTATTCATTCAAAACTGTTGTCCTGACGATGACTTCTGTAACAGCATACGGATCGCAGTTAGAAGATGGACGTCTGTCTTCAAGGTAACCATAACCATCTTCTGCTACCTGTCGGGGAATTCTGATACTAGCTCCACGATTGGCTACTCCTGCTGAGAAATCGTGGATAGAAGAAGTTTCATGAAGTCCAGTTAAACGTCTTTCATTGTCTTTTCCTTCTCGTGGATCGTAAGCTTTTATGTGTCGGACATGATGATGAGAAAGTCTCTCAATGGCATCCTCAATAGCTCTGAAAGGCAAAAGATTTAGTTGAAGGTCAATTAAATGGACGAATTTCAGGTGTTTGATTGATTGAGTAAAGTTTCGGAATGCATTGAAAGAAATGAAAATGAATTGAAATGGGGTTCAACGTCCTACTGGCCCATTGAAGATGGGGATACGCTATGCAGTGTGCTATGAGGGAAATTTTGACCAATGGCCAACTCTTATTTTAAATTCCACCAGGGAAGGAATGAAATAGAATAGGGTTTAATATTTCCTCAATACAATACTTTGGTCAATTTGGAACAACCTTTCTTTTTCAATAACAATATTGCCCAGGCAGACAGGTGTTACCTCATACATCGTCCATTGAACTGTCCACCTACATGAAATAATTTATAGTTTCTGCAGGTGTGCAATGTTAGGTAGGAGAATTTTGCCCAGACAGTGGTGTTGCAACTTCGTACATCTTTGACTATAAACAGTCAAGGGTTCTTTACGTGTTTCTCCACCTGGTAATATCTAGCTTCTGCTGGTGACCATTTGGCCTGAGGCTACCCATTTCCCAATATGCAATAGAACACCTGACAACACCTCTTTATTTTAATTATCATATTGGATACTTACTTAATACCATCCTTCTCTCTCATACTTTTGGTACTGTAATTAGTGTGGGCACCAGCTCCGTTCCAGTCTCCCTCCATAGGTTTGGGGTCAAGGGTCACGATAACACCGAAATCTTCTGCTACCCTGTGTAAGATGTATCGAGCTACCCATAGATGATCTCCCATATTGATACCTTCAGATGGACCAACTTGAAATTCCCACTGAAAAAACACAAAAGTTAGATGTGAATTGGACACATTCTGTATCCAATCTGATTAAAATACAGATCTACATGAAGATCTGACAAGTTATAGCCATAGGTCACGTCAGGGGTCAAAACACCGACTTATGACCCTATGACGTCAGACATTTGATTAACCAATCAGCATTGATGTAACTAGTGGATTACCCACAGTTCCATGCAAAACATGCCTAAAGCTTGCCGTAACAGACCGTTTCATTGGCTTATCCCCGACACCATTCAGAACACGAGTTAAATAACAACTCTTCCAGATCCAAGTGTAGTAAAGACAAGTAAAACAAAATTTTGAACTATAAAAACGAAACGAAATAGGATCTGTGTTTTAACCAGATTGATTCTGTAACTGAACTCTTGGGATGCATGCAGCAATCAAATTTTGTTCTCTTTTGTGGTTGGACAATATTTATGTTAGTACTTTAAGATGAGAGAAAGAGCGGGATAAATGAGGAGAGAGAGAGAGAGAGAGAAAAATGGGGTTTAACGTCCACTCGACACAAACTAGGTCATTTCGGGACTAACATGTTTTTTTAAAATTTTTTTTTTTAATAATTTGCTTGCGCGTAGGCATCTTTAGCCTAAACCGGAGGAAACCAGAGGACCATGAGAAAACCCACATGGTTAGACAGGCGACCTACTCCTTGTCACGTACAACTGGGGATTCGAGAGAAATTGGGTTGATGTCCACTAACTAGGTAATTTCAGGACTAATATATGGTTAATTCTATATCAATAATTCGCTAGTATGTACAGGTGTAGCACTATAACGTCATATGCGTCGCTGGTCAGATGTGGGAAAGTGCACTGTCGTGTGATGCATATTCTCTCCTGCCACACACTTTATTGGCCTTTTAATCGTCTAATATTGTCTCTCGTCATATTTGTAATTCTCTTCATTGGGACCCCTTTTCACATTGGGAATTTTCTTCTTACTATCTCAGTAGTTAAGACTAAATAACCCTTTTTATTTTATTAAATGGAAGCGGGGTAAATACTTCTCAAAATTCGCAAAAGGTAATACTCAGTGTTTTCGACTAAAATCGTTGATTAGGGATTTAAAATGTCGGTCAACAAGCTTAGTGAAATGAAATGAAATGGAGTTTAACGTCCTACTGTTCTGCTCCTAACCTGGGCTAATGAAGACGGGCATACGCCATACAGTGTGCTATGAGGGAAATTTTGCCCGGACAGCGGCACTACGGCCTACTCTTATATCAAATTCCAACTGCCAAGGGATCTTTTACGTGCACGCCAATGTGTACACGGGACCTTGGTTTTTCGTCCCATCCGAACGACTAGACAGCTTTCCTTGTCAGCCCCCCCGTCCTGCATCACTGACAAGGGAGAACCACGCCGGAAAATCTGGATGAACTTTCTCGGCCAATGCAGGGATCGAACACCCGACCTCCAGGCTAGCGAGCTAGCGTCTTACCCACTTAGCCACGTGATCCCCAACAAGCTTAGTGTCTGTTCTCAAGCGGAGTTAAGTTTAGTATGATAGACTATTTACACATGAACCCTAAACAAGGATAAACCGACAGCTGAAACTTGAGAAACTTGAGAAACGTTTTATGGTTTTTTGAAAGCCAAAAATATATTAAAATAAAGACAGAAGGTCGGATTCCTATTTATCATCAAGATTTATTGCCCAATAATGTCCTTGATGAGAGGTTGACTATATATACAAGGTTAAATTACACCTTCAGATAATAGAAACATCCCATTTCTTTACATAACTTGTAGCCTATATAATTGTGTCGTGGGTTATCCAATTTCTTAGCTAAGAGAAATACATTTAGCCTTAAAACCAAAGTGCACTGGTTGAAATTTCTAATAAATCTTTTGTCAGGGTTTTCCAGCGTGGTTTCCTCTCGTCAGTGGTGCAGGACGGAGGGCCTGATAAGGACAGCTGTCTAGTCGGTCGGATGGGACGAAAAACCAAGGTCCTGTGTACCCGTAACAGAACCTGTGACAGTTGAAATTTGATGTAAGAGTACAGTGGGTTGTAATGCCATTGCCTGGGCAAAATTTCCCTCGTGGCACAGTGTATGGCATATGCCTGTCTCCATTAGCCAAGAGGGGGTTAGTGTGGGTAGCCGAATGGTTACCGCTGTATCATAAGGACTGTCATTGAGTCAATTGGCGTGGTTTCGATTCCTTGGTTGTACATGACAAGGAGTAGGGTCGTCTGTCCCAACCTCGTGGGTTTTCTCCGGGTCCTCCCACTGCTAAAGACCTCTACGCGCAAGCAAATTATTGAAATAAAATTGAACCATATGTAAGTCCCGAAATGACCTAGTTTGTGTTGTGGACGTTAAACCCCATCTCTCTCTCTCATTAGCCCAGTTGGTACAGAACAGTAGGACGTTAAACCCCATTTCATATCGTCTCAAAACTAAAACCATTAAGAGTTTCAACATACAAATTAAGACTATAAATGTGCTGATTTTTTTTTTTTGTGTAACAATATTATTTAATGTCAATCTTGGAAATGTGTTAAATTTGATTTTTTTTTTAAAGCCAATATTAGCAGTGTGTTATCATTTATGTTTGGTGAAAAGATTTTGAAGCGAATAATTATCATTGAGAGACAAGATACATGTATCTACAAATGTAGATATACAAATGTCTTTAATTTTTGTGGTGTGTTATATTTGATTGGAGAATTTTTGAAGACTATATTCATACAGACAAGATGTCTATGCAGATAAAAATCTCATTTCATCCAGTGCAGACTTACAACACAAACAAATATTCATATTGTTAGAAAGGAAGGCTTTGAAGGCAAGATTTATGAGATAACGACAATGGCTATGAACATTTTTGCTGATTTAATGTGTAAAACAATTTTTTTTATGTTAAACAAATTTTTTTTTATGTAAAATTATTATTTTTTTTTTTTGTATAACAATTATTTTTTTATGTAAAACAAATTTTTTTAAGTCATCAATCATGGTGGGTATGTTTAATTGGAAAGTTTTTGATGACAATATAAGACAAGATGTCTATGCAGATAAAAAATGTTTGTCCTAATATTCTGCTTCGACTGGACTAATGAAGACGGGCATACGCCATACAGTGTGCTATAAGGGAAATTATTCCTGGACAGCAGCGCTACGGCCTACACTTATATCGAATTCCAACTGCCTGGGGATCTTTTAATATGCACGCCAATGTTTACATGGGACCTTGTTTTTTTTTGTCCAATCTGAATGACTAGACAGCTGTACTTGTCTGGCCCTCCGTCCTGCACCACTGACAAGGCGAAATGACAAGGGAAAATCTCGATGAACTTTCTCGGCCAACACCGACAGACGGGGATATGCCATACACCACAGTGCGCAATGAAGGAAATGTTACCCAGACAGCAGCGCTACGGCCTACACTTATATTGAATTCCAACTGCCTAGAGATCTTTTATGTGCACGCCAATGTGTATACGGGAACTTGGTTTGTTGTCCAATCTGAATGACTAGACAGCTGTCCTTGTCAAGCCCTCTGTCCTGCACCAGTGACAAGGGGAAACACCGAGAAATATAAGAGACAAGTTAAATGGTATTTGATTTACATACCGCACTTAAACCTATTTTTATTCACTGTATCTGAGGGGCCGAATGATTAAACCTATTTTTATTCAGTGTACCTGAGGGGCAGAATGATAAACTGTAACCCAGTTCCCGAAATGTTTTATTATATAGAACTTGTAATAAGAGATACAGATATGTTGACCTAAAGCAATGATATAAAACTGGTATACGTCAATATGTTAATATAACAAGATGGTATAGATAACTGAACAAGCTTGGTCAATATAGTTATATCATCATCTGATCATAAGACAAGTTTCAACATTCACACAATTAAGTCATTTTTTTATTTCAATATTATCATATTTTACTTCTACCTTTAAGCAAAAATCACTCATGACTGGTCAGCCTTTTTTTTTTTTTGCGACCTTGAACCAATGAAATGAGGTTCACCTTCGGATTTTTCTTCATCAACAATGATAATGAGAGAGAGAGAGGGTTCCACTTGACACAAACTAGGTCATTTTGGGACTAACATATTGTTCAATTTTATATCATTAATTCTCTTGGGTGCTTGCGTGCAGGGGCCTTTAGTAGTGGGAGGAAACTGGAAAACCTGAAGAAAACCCAAGAGGTTGGACAGGCAACCCCCTGCCCTCCCTCTCCTCAAGATACAAGGTTAGACAGGCAACCCCTCCGCGCCCCCCCCTCCTTGGGATACAACTGCAGCTATTATTATTCAGACCAGGTAATGTTCTACAAAAGCATTTTATAACAATCCTTGAAACAATATTTTCATAGAGAATCCACACTTAACAACCTATCAACAAGGTCATTGAAAATTTTATCAGCCTATTGAGGTGAATTGAAGTTTATAAAAGTATTAATGTAAATAAATAATTCACCTGTGCAGGCATAACTTCAGCATTACAACCACAGATATCTACACCAGCGTATAAACAAGCTTTATAATGAGCTTCTACAATATCTCTACCATAAACACGATTAGCCCCAACACCACAATAATAAGGTCCTAAAATAATAATACCATATAAATTACTTGTACAAATAAAATCTTTATTCATCTGAACTAAATTTATGATACATCCACTAGTTTTGTTAAACTTTCAATCTTTTTTTTTTTTTTTTAAGTCATTTCAAATTTTGGATATAATGTATAGAGAGAGAGAGATGGGGTTTAACGTCCACTTGACACAAACTAGGTCATTTCGGGACTAACATATGGTTTAATTTTATTTCAATAATTCACTTGCGCGTAGGGGTCTTTAGCAGTGGGAGGAAACCGTGATCCAGAGAAAACCCACCAGGTTGGACATGCGACATTTGACCCTACTCCTTGCCACTTACAACCGGGGAATTGAAACCATGCCAGCTGACAAAACGACAGACCTTATGATACAGCGCACACATGCTAACCATTCGGTCATCCAACACCCCCCCCCCTCCCGGTTTCGCTGAGGAGTTGCAAGACTAATAGCTCTGTAAAAGATGACTGCTTTATCATGTGACGTCACATCACGTGGCGTCAATCACTGGCTAATGGTGCGTGCATTGTTTACATAAGACTTTACTAATCCGGACAGAATGGTGCCTTTTACTCATTTTACATACTCATTTACACTAAATAGGAAATATTTTTTACCTTCATATACTTGAATCACCTTTATTTATTTTTGTAATGCTTAAAAACATGTTCTAGAATAAAATTTGCAGAAGGAAAAAAGTTAATATTTGGGGCTCATTAAGTCACATCGATGTCATCCTTATCAGTGACTGTAGCAGACTAGCGTATATTCATTGCTGATCAGTGTGTTTAGTAGGAGTGCCAGAATCTGTCAATCTACATCTAAAGTAAGGTATAAAGAGATAAAAAAATTTTTTATTGGCAAATAGATTCCTAACTCGCCTTGATTAGTTACTGAGTTACAGGCAATTAATTGATATAATATCTTACCTTGTGGTCCAGGGAAACCATTTTTAGGCCAACCAAAAGGATGTCCATCACAATCTAATATGGTATATTCTTGTTCAATACCAAACCAGGGTTTCTCATCTTTCGCTTTCTCCATGACTTGTTTACATGAGAAACGTTGATTAGTATCTGAATAATACAAAAATATACATTGTGTTAAAACGTAAACATTAGAGCTGAGAGATTCCGAGAAATGTGGTTTAACGTCCACTTGAAACAAACTGGGGCATTTTGGGACTAACATTATTTCAATAATTCACTTTTGTGTAGGGAGTAAACCATGCCACTTAACTCAATGAGAGACCTTGTGATTTCACGCGCACACGTTTAATCACTAGACCATCCAACCCCGTAATAAACAGAGGAGAACAATGATCATTTGAGGGGTATGGAATCCATGTCAGACAAGAAATTGAACAGTTACAATATTAATCTTGCCAGTATTGTCAAACATTTCAACTTTCACAACATAAAATCAAATCATTTTTTAATTACAATATCATTATTTTGTTTTTGCTACCATGATGCTTAACCAAATGAAATGTTATAGAGTTTAACCACTCGGCAAACCTCGGCAGATTCCGTTACTCTACATCTAGCCTCGGCTGTATGACGGTAAGTGATATGTACCAACGCCTATACAATTGCGTGCGGTACCGGTTTACTTATTAGGAAAACTTGCCACTTTTAAAAAGAAGTTATCAAAATTGCCTTGTTTGAAGCATGTGTATAATTTTTAGTGCAAAGTTGTCCTTGTTTGAAGCAAATCTCAGATAAACTTGAAAGAATAACAGCTTCAGGCTTTGAAATATTTGTATGATAAAACATTCTTCAAAGGCGTCGTCATGGGCAACGCCGTTGGTAGTTCCAATGGCAGACTTCATCATACAGCCGAGGCTAGATGTAAGGTACTATAATCTGCTGGGGTTTGCCAAGTGAGTTTATTTTATACAAAGATCTCTACATGTACATGTATTGTGTACACAGGACCTTGTTTTGTTTTTGGTCCCATCCAAATGACTAGACACTGTTCCTTGCAAGGCCCTCTGTCCTTCACCACTGACAAAGGGTAACCAGAGGAAATTTCTCGGCCATCACTGGAATCGAAACCCCAGACCTACAGGTTAGCAATGAGCCACTGTGGCTCTTCCGTATGTTCTGCAACTTTAATAAGAATTTAAAGTGGCAGTCGGTGGTTGTCTCCACCGAAAGTTAATCAACAGAAGTTACAATGTAATAAATTACCTGCAGGTTTTTTATTGTATTTATAGACATCACATAAAACTAATCTATTGTTGCCTCGTCTGAAGGGATCTTTAAATATGGCGCAAGGGTAGAGGTACATGTCTGAGTTTGATCCTTCTGCCTGGTATGTACTGGATCCATCAAAATTCCAAATGGGACATTCTGTAAAATTTAAAATAAAATATTTAATTAAAATCTGTCAATTTAAATGGCAAATTGCGCATTGACCTTGTTTCCTTCACTTTTAAAAAATATGCACCTATTTTTCAATTGCTTCGTGCAAATAATTCCCATACATTGTTGTGGATATCAAAATCCCAAATTTCAAATAAAGGCGCACAAAAATAACAACTTGCCTGATGGATCTTTTGGTTCACATGGTAAAGTTCTACATTTACTTCTGATTCCCTCCCCAGTTCCATCTATCCACAAATACTCAGCCATAACACGGCCATCTTGTTCTAAGTCTAAATATTTCTCTAGAACTTGTTTATTGGTTACTGCTGTCAGCGACATCTTCAAAACCGTTTAATTACCTGAAATAAAAAATATATATTACGTCACATGTGGGATATAGAGAGAAAGAGGGATTAATGTCCACTCGACAAAAACTAAATACAAACTTATTTCAATAATTCACTTGCACAAGGTGTCGTTAGTAGTGGGAGGAAACAGTAGGACCAGGAGAAATCCATGGGGTTTGACTGTACTGAGTATATCTCGATTATCGTTGATAATAGGCAGGATTGATTAGGTAATTATGTAATCAACCCTTTTACATACATGTACCAACCGTACTGGTTGTTTAAAGCCAAGTCTCCCTCCTCCATTTTTAGCTTAAATCAAAATATGACTGAACTGTTCTAATCTATTCAATATCGGAGAAAGCCGATGCCATCAGAGAGTTGATTATGGCCTGGATAAGTTAATTAATGTCTAATTAATAATTAAGAAAACATTTCAGGCCTAAAGAAAGACCTGCAATAGGCAGATTCAGCTCTTGCATAATGTATGTTTAATTGATTAACTACTGTTCTACAGCAACACGACTAATTAAATAACATCATTTTTTATGCCCTATTGTTCTAGAAATGAAATGGGGTTTAACATCATCCTACTGTTCCGCTCCGACTGGGCTAATGAAGACGGGTATTGTTCTTCACCAATAGGACTAACAAAATGAAATGATGCTTAACGAGCTACCGTTCAGCACCAACATGTACAGTACACACCTGTCGATTCATATGTATATGCAACAAGTATAGATAACTCAACATGTATACACCCCTATTGTTTATGAGTTATCATGCGTCTATACATGTATGTATGTATGTGAGTCCAATAAAATATGTCAATTTTATGTCATATAACAAGATGTTAAATAAACATGACTAACAAATTTTGATAAATATTCAGAATTTAAATAAATATACCAGGATATACGACCTCTGATATTAATACATATATAGGGCGAAATAACAAAGGTCAAGTAGAAAGGTTCAAATAAGCTGTCAGAAAAAAAAGATTTTGTTGTGATTTATATGCAAAGTAATTGTACATGTACATACATGTAATACATGTATGTCCATTTATTCTAAACGTGGTATACGAATGTTTCACTCATGTTCAATTCACTTCTACATAAAAAAGAACCTGTGGTCTGTTCCCTTGTACATACAAAACCCCCAACTTGTGCTCGGTTTTCTTGTACATAAAAAACTCAGCCATCCTTAGGGTGTAACGGTGATATAATAATACGTTTTTTTAAATCGGATAAAAATTACTACCTCTATAGGATCCACAAGCTAAAAACGAAATTTTTCGTACAATCAGGGGCCATAATTCAGGAAGTTACAGTCCGATATACGCGAATATCGAAAGGAGCCGAGATCTTTGGGTTATAAACTTACATTTCAAGTTTCAACAAAATTGGATAAAAATTGTGACCTCTATAGGATCCACAACCTTAATATAATACCATAATTTTATGCTATTTGAAAATGAAGGGCGGCCATTTTGTCTGTCAGTTTTGAGCCGATTTTTACAAAATTCGAACTCAGCCATCCTTAGGGTGTAACAGTGATATAATAATACGTTTTTTTTTAAATCGGATAAAATTTATGAACTCCATAGGATTCACAAGCTAAAAACGCGATTTTTCGTACAATCAGGGGCCATAATTCAGGAAGTTACGGTCCTATATGCGCGAATATTGAAAGGAACCGAGATCTTTGGGTTATAAACTTACACATCAAGTGTCAACAATATCGGATAAAAATTGTGACCTCTATAGGGTCCACAACCTTGATATACCATATTTTTACGCTATTTGAGAACGAACGGCGGCCATTTTGTCTGTCAATTTTGGGTCGATTTTCATGAAATTCAAACTCATTCGTCCTTAGGATGTAACGGTGATATAATAATACGTTTTTTGAAATCGGATAAAAATTATGACCTCTATAGGGTCCACAAGCTAAAAACAAGATTTTTCGTACAATCAGGGGCCATAATTCAGGAAGTTACGGTCCGATATGCGCGAATATCGAAAGGAACCGAGATCTTTGGGTTATAAACTTACATTTCAAGTTTCAACAAAATCGGATAAAAATTGTGACCTCTATAGTGTCCACAAGCTAAAAACGTGATTTTTCGTACAAACAGGGGCCATAATCCATGAAGTTTCGATCCGATACATGCCAATATCGAAAGCAGCCGAGATATTTTGGAGATAAGAATTGTGACCTGTAGAGTGTCCACAAACAATTGTGGACGGACGGATGTCCGTACGGACAGGGGCGACGGCATAATACGTCCACATGAAAATGTGGGGTATAAAAATTGTGACCTCTATAGGGTCCACAAGCTAAAAACGTGATTTTTCTTTCAAACAGGGGCCATAATCCATAAAGTTTCGATCTGATACAAACCAATACCTGTAGAGTGTCCACAAACAAATTGTGGACGGACGGACAGGGGCGACGACAATATCCGTCCACATGAAAATGTGGGCGTATAAAAACATGTCTTGTTCTGTTCCCATGTACATGTACACACAGAACCCCCAACTTGTGTTCCATTCCCCTGTATGTACAAAACCGAGGTCCCGTGTACATATTGGCGTGCACGTAAAAGATCCCTTAGCAGTTGGAATTCGATATAAGAGTAGGCCGTAGCGCCGCTGCCTGGGCAAAATTTCCCTCATACATGTAGCACACTGTATGGCGTATGCCCCTCTTCATTAACCCAGTTTAGGAGCAGAACAGCAGGATGTTAAACCCCATTTCATTTCATTTCTGTACATAAAAAAACTCCCTACTTGTGTTCTATTTTCTTGTAAATACAAACCCCCCAACTTGTGTTCTGTTTCCTTGTACATAAAAAAACAAACTTGTGTTCTATTTTCTTGTAAATACAAATCCCCCAACTTGTGTTCTGTTTCCTTGTACATACAAAACCACCCTGTGTTCTGTTTCCTTGTACATACAAAAACCCCAACGTGTTCTGTTCCCTTGTACATACGTACAAAACCACCCTGTGTTCTGCTCCCTTGTACATACAAAACCCCAAACTTATGTTCTGTTCCCTTGTACATACATGTACAAAACCCCAACTTGTGTTCTGTTCCCTTGTAAATACAAAACTCCCTACTTGTGTTGTTTCCTTGTAAATACAAAACTCCCTACTTGTGTTCTGTTTCCTTGTAAATACAAAACTCCCTACTTGTGTTCTGTTTCCTTGTAAATACAAAACTCCCTACTTGTGTTCTGTTTCCTTGTACATACGAAACCCCCAACTTGTGTTCTATTTCTTTTTATCTTAAATCCAGTTTTTTGCATTTTATCTTATATTTTTGACGTTGCATCATTTTATTGGTGAATTGCATCTGTTTGGATATTGATTAAAATTGTCGACATCAGTAAATAACATAGATATTGAATTAAAGTACAGTATTGCATCATCATGTATAAAATTATAATAGTAATAAGAAACAATGGGTCATCAAATTCAGGGGGTCAGTCGCTTGGTACTCAACAACCAGGGGGTCGATGGCTACTGAACAACCTGGGTACTCAACAACCAGGGACTTGATGGCTATTCAACAACCAGGAATTTGATGGTACTCAACAACCAGGAGCTCAGTGGGTAGGACGTTTTCAAGTCTATCCTTTTGTTGGCCAAGAAGGTTCTTTAGAATTTTCCACCTATGAGAACAGACAAGGACAGAGTCTGTCATTCTAATGGAAGGAATAAGGACATTCCTGTACGAACACAATGATGTGCATGTAGAAATAACTTAAAACGCCAAACAACCATAGACAGAGACTGGTCATAGATACATAGAATGACTCAAACTAAATAAAGAAAAACTCAGCTACATGTATGAACTTATCAGTAGATACCAGTAAATACTCAAATGAGATCAATGGATTTCGCATTTTCTTACTGTGCCGTTCAACATTTCGCGGCACACAGGAAGATGACTGGTTGAGAATCACTGATTTACACAATTAGAATTAGCGTAGTGTTAGACTAACATATCATTTTCCTGATTATCAGCAAAACATCAAAATATTGTAAGGAGGCAGCTTTTTAATTGGTGGAGACATATCATCTTGCAAATTTTGGCTCTTACAGCCAATGAGAGAGAGAGGAATGGGGTTTAACGTCCACTCGACACAAACTAGGTCATTTTGGGACTAACATATGATTCAATTTTATTTCAATAATTCACTTGGGCATAGAGGTCTTTAGCAGTGGGAGGAAACTGGAGGACCTGGAGAAAACCCACGAGGTTGGACAGACGCCCCTACTCCTTGGCACATACAACCGTTGAATCGAAACCCCGCCAGTTGACTCAATGACCATATGATACAGCGAGCACGTGCTAATCATTTGGCCATCCCATCCCCCCCCCCCCTGCTTACAGCCAATAAAAAGTGTGCATTCCTTTGCTTTAGTGTTTGTATTTATAGAATAAGGGGTGTCTTATTGAGGTTAGACCGTTAGAGTGTCATCTGTCAGTTTAAATGAGCTAAGTCTAACTAAATATCATCCACAGTCTTCAACATTGCAATCAAGCCTTATTGGTCAATTTAAATAAACATCTTACTCTGAAAAGTTGGACAGAAACAATTGAATGCAAATCTGTTTATATACATTCATATTACATTATTACATGCATTGTGACCTATTTGTGTTCATTTCTAGGTGCCAAAGAATAGAGACTTAGCTCCTTTAAGTTCCCACATGTGTCAATGTAAGACATTAAACTCTTCATGTCACTGTCCTGTATATGTACTGTATATTTTATGTTTCACAGCAGAAATCCAATACTCCTATTTTTGACCTTATTTTCTTGAAAAAAAAAACCCCCACCAAACCTATACAGAAATAACTTTAATTCCTAAATAAATTTCTTCAGTATAGAATTTCATTTTTTAACCCATAAAGATCTTGCTGATAACATTCAAGACAGATTTGGTGTTTTTAAAATTTAAATACAATATATGGGGAACATGTAACTATAAAGCTAGTATCTATATAAATAAAATCAAAGAAGTCTGTGTGTATGAGTGTACATGTACATGTATGTGTCACATGTGTGTTGCCCATCATGTTTCATCAATGCAATCCATCCCCACATATCTGAGAGAGAGAGAGAAATGGGGTTTAACGTCCACTTGACACAAACTAGGTCATTTCAGGACTAACATATGGTTTTAATTTTATTTCAATAATTCGCTTGCGCATAGGGGTCTTTAGCAGTGGGAGGAAACCAGAGGACCCGGAGAAAACCCACAAGGTAGGACAGGCAATCCTACTCCTTGTCACGTACAACCGGGGATTCGAAACCACGCCAGTCGACTCAATGACAGACTTTACGATACAGCGCGCGCACGCTAACCATTTAGCCATCCAACCCCCACATATCTACATGTACATGTAGTATCATATTACCCAGCATGACACCATGAATGATTTATGCCGTCAAATTTGGGCCATCGGGCGAATTGGCCTCTGGTCCTGGTCCCTGGACGAATTTGGTCCACAGGCAAAGTCGAGTATTCTGCTAGTATTAACTATAAGAGAGAGAGAGAGTTTAACATCCACTCTACACAAATTAGATAAATTTTGGAATAACATATTGTTCAATTTTATTTCAATTATTCGCTTTCGAGTATGGGTGTTGCTATTTTGCTATGTTCCATCTCTCACACATGACTAGCTAATTACCAGCGTAAGGATCTTGCTAATTTGCCATGTTCCATTTCTCATGCATGCCTAGCTAATTGCAAGCACATGTTATTTATCATCTTCCAAGGCCATACATATGTCACCACGGTCTGTCAAAACCTGATAATTAATTAATTATGGGTTACCTTTAAGATAAATTACATGTATGTAAGATTTAGATAAAGAGGTGGTCCTTCTTGCTATAATAGCTCCAAAATAGATAATGTAAAATGAATATAGTGAAAATTTCATTCAAATTACTTCATTCGGAGTCAAGTTATAACTGGTTGTAGTTTTGACAATAGTGCGCATCAGGGCACTGGTATATGTGAGACTTAGCCTCGCTTTTGCATTTTTAAATTGAATTTTTAAATGGTGAACCGTTCTAATCTAGTTAAAATCTTGAGTATCTAATGCCATCGAGAGTTGATTATGTTTGGTTTTTTTCTTAATAAATGTCTAATAGTTTATATAACATTTCAGGCCTGTAATAGGCAGATTTAGCCCTTGCATAATGTATGTTTAATATTGATACATGAGATATGTATGTTAATGGTAATATTTTAATCCATGTACATAGTTAATATTATAAGATTTTTTCTATGTCTATAATCTTCTCTGTATTCTTTTAATATTTTAATCTATGTCTAAATTGTTGTGTTTATATTTAACATTGTAATGTACATGTACATGTATGTATCTAGGGGTAACACCTTCAAGAATATAAATATGAAGGTGGACCCATGAAGGAAACAAGTTAGGAAGGAGGTACAGATAAAAGGCTACACTATGCCAACTCTTGATTTTATACTTATTTAGTTGAACATAATTCTGTAGTATCTATACAGTTCTGAATATTGTCTGTTATGATTGTTCCATGTATATTTACTGTATCTACATAAAGCTCTATAATTAGCTGAATCAAGTGTTCATAGTTTATGAATAAGAAGAAACCAGTATGATGAACTGTCAACAACAATAAGAACCTAAGCCAGAGGGGGAGAGAAATGGGGTTTAACGTCCAATTGACACAAAGTAGGTAATTTTGGGACTAACATATATGGTTCAATTTTATTTCAATAATTCGCTTGCGCGTAGGGGTCTTTATCAGTTGGAGGAAACCAAAAGAGCCGTAGAAAACCCACGAGGCTGGACAGGCGTTCCTACTCCGTGTCACGCACAACCGGAAAATCGAAACCACACCAGTTGACTCAATGACAGACCTTATGATACAGCGTGCACCCCCTTACCATTCGGCCATCCAACCCTGGTTACACATACATAATAGCATGGACCTTAAAATTTTATAAGGTCCATGATAATGGTAGCTACATGTACCTTAACATTTGTAGATTGTCAAAATTCCCTCCCTAAAGTATTTCGAAAGATATGTATCGGATAACAAATACATTTTTTGAGCCGGGGAAAACGACAACAACTCTCGTACTAAAAGGTCAGTAGTAGCTGGAAGCTAGTGACAGGAAGACATCTTTTCTGATACATATGTAGCATGGCTATGTCATCTAATCTATGGTTATAAATCTAGAACCATGGCTGTGTTGAGGAAGTTCATTTCATGACTAGGCTGCGTCAAGACCATTATATAACAGTATATCTGCCCACTGTACATGTAAAATGATTCACACGTGTACTAGTATTTATAAGTCACTGTACTGTATGTACGCAAAAACCCCACATTTATTTATGAGAGAAATCTCTTTGATTGGGGTGAAAAAGATAAGTGCTTTGCTCCTACTACAAATGTACATGTATATGTATACTAATTAGAGAAGAGAGAGAAATGGGGTTTAACATCCACTCCACACAAACTAGGTCATTTCGGGACTAACATATGGTTTTAATTTTATTTTAATAATTCGCTTGCGCGTAGGTGTTTTTAACAGTGGAAGGAAACCGGAGGACCCAGAGAAAACCCACGAGGTTGGACAGGCAACCCTACTCCTTGGCACGTACAACTGGGGGTATACTAATGAAGACGGGCATAGGCCATGCAGTGTGCTATGAGGGAAATTTGGCCGGACAGCGGTGCTATTGCCTACTCTTGTTTTGAATTCCTACTGTCAAGGATTTTTTTACGTGCATGACAATGTGGATACAGAACTCAGTTTTTCATCCCATCCGAACGACTATACATTGTCCCTTGTCAGACCCTCCATTCTACACCACTGACAAGAGAGAACCACGCCGGAAAATCCTGATCAACTTTATCTGTCAATGTATATAGGGATTGAACACAGGACCTCCAGGCTAGCGAGCCAGCATCTGAACCACTTAGCCACTGTGGCTTGTTCCAAAAACAAACAACAAAAAAATCAAGCTGTCCTACTCACTGAGCTACTGTGACTCTTTCATTTTAGAAAGGAAAGGGATTAACCTTTCCCAAACAGGAAACATGTGCTTTGGTCATTTCAGGACAAACATGGTAATTATCATATATGGTTATGTATGGAATGAATGAAGGAGAATTTTGTCTCGGCATCAGTGTTTTAGTGTACTTTTCTTTAGATTCCAACTGCCAAGGGACCTTTTAGGTGCACCACTAATTGAAAGTTTGTTAAAAATAAATGGGTTTTCAATTTTTTCATATAGGGATTCAAATTGCATTGACCAATTTGCTCAAGCAATAAGTTAGATGTCTTAATCAAATGAAAAAATTTCTGGGGGCTAGAATCTGATCACGAGAGTGGCGAAGTATATATGTACGAACAGGGTTTAGCTTTAGCATAATTACCATATTAAAACAATTAACTCTAAATATAGTGGTCAGAAATTTGCCATGGTGGTGTAATCTATGTCAACTTTTGCCACGGCAGTGTCATATTCATACTAAACTTACGCTGTCTGTCCACAGTTAGCTCTGCTTGAGAACGTATATATATATACAAATTACAAACTAAGCTACATGTAGTTGACTGACATTTGAAGTACTATATCTATGAAATGAAATGGGGTTTAACATCCTACTGTTCTGCTCCTAACCTGGGCTAATGAAGACAGGCATATACGCCATACAGTGTGCTATGAGGGAAATTTTGCCCGGACAGCACTACTGCCTACTCTTATATCGAATTCCAACTGTCAAGGGATCTTTTACGTGCATGGCAATGTGTACACGGGACCTCGTTTTTTCGTCCCATCCGAACGACTAGACAGCTGTCCTTGTCAGGCCCTACATCCTGCATCACTGACAAGGGGAAACCACGCCAGAAAATATGAATGAATTTTCTCGGCCAATCAATGCAGGGATCGAACACCTGACCTCCAGGCTAGCGAGCCAGCGTCTTACCCACATAGCCACGTGATCCCCCCATGCTATATCTACGATTTTTGGTGGAAACTCTAAGTACTTTCTTCTGCATCAGTTTAATAAAATTGGTCTTTGTGTGTATGACATGTGAAACAGGGTAGAACTGCATTACAAAACAGTATACTAATTTTTGGACATGTTGAAGTATGAAGTATGTGAATCTCTGTGTGCAGAATGTGTCATATATTATTACCATTATTAATACTAAATTTTCTATTATAGGCTCAAGGAAGGGTAGACAGAAATTTAATTAATGTATTATCCACAATCAAAATAATTAACTTTATTTACTGGGTAAAATTTATTCAAATAATAGGCTACCTTATAAAATATACTTACTATTAATATTTTTTAAAAAAGAACACTAATAATTTAATATAAATAAAATAGAAAGTTGGCATTTCGATGTAATTATTTTGACAAATTATGTATTTTCAAAAAAAAAATATCGAATCTCAATACGGTAAATCAAATAGGCAATTTCTGCTTTATTATAATAACTGACAATAATATGGAAAATACAGCTGAGGCATATGGAACATCATTTATACAGCAGAGCCCTTTGATCTCACAATTCTTTTTATTTAATCGCTCAATCAAATACTCTATTTGCACATACTTACTGCATACGTAAACAACATAGAAAGATCGTAAATAGTAAAAAAAAAGGGGGGGGATATGGGATGATTTATCATTAATTGAAAATTTTCCACTCCGGCAGACTGGATTATTCCGCAGGCAGCAAGAGCCAGGTCAAAAACAGCTGATCGCAGGATGATGACAGAAGTCGGTATTTATTTACGATCCATCTATTGCAATAATAATACCAAGGTAACGTGCGGATTTTGATCAATGTGGGCTCTGTTCATTAAACAAAATAAAACGTTTGAATGCAATTAACTTGACTTACCTAAAGGTAAAACAATTTATCTGTCCTGTAGGAATTTTTATCATGAAATAATGGTAGAAGTCTGATGACAGTACACTCATAAAGCCTCTTGTCATTATCTTTCTTCTCATTGGTTATTGCTAACAAGTGCCCGTTATTTGATTGGATGAAATCTTCTGGTCTTGACCGCACAGTTTAACCTCACGTGACTGAACTCTGCTGATAAAATTTCCTGGCACACAGTCGGTCTGCTCCGTGGGCGTAGCCCGTGACCGACTATTGATTCTACGTATTGGCACTGAAACATTTAAGGAATAACCTTCAACTTTTATTGACATAAATTTAGTCATTTTAAAATCACCACCACGTTTTCTGTAAACACGAGCAAGACTATCGTACATATGCTATTTTCCCATATAAACGTTGTGTACGGCTAAATGAAAAGACAAATAGCCTATTATACCTACGAAGAAAGATGAAAGACAAAAGATAGGTTGTCAGGCAACGAAACATACTCCCACAGCAGTTAAGTCGCCCAGGCAATAAGAGATGTTGCATACTTTTCTTTTGTCGGTAGTAAAACATTTATAATACAGTCACAGTGAAATCTAACAATTCATTAAATACATGCAAGAGTTAAATCGGCCTATTACAGCTATAAGGTCTTTCTTTGGGCCCGAAATGTTATCTAAATTATTGATTAGACATTAATTAACATATCCAGGCCAAAATCAACTCTCGTTGGCATCGCTAGCCTGCGTTATTTACTGGATTAAAACCAGGTCTTCTGCTTCTGATTAAATCAAAAAAGGGATAATCGTAACTATGTTTTTTATCGTATCGACTTTAGCAATGATGGTCGAGACTAGGCTCTAATTCAATCTCTAAATACTCGGTTCAGGGTGGATCAATTTGACTGAAATTTTCAACAAATTCACTTTACATTATCTATTTTTTAACTATTAGAGTGAGAACTACGACCAGCTCTTTATCTAATCTCCCATAATTATCAGAAAATCATTAGAATTTGTTTGGCTTCTAGTTCTGCCCCATGATAACGTTTAATATAGAAAACATTTAATATCATGGATTTAGCTGTTTAAGATATCAAAAATCATTGAAAATCAATATCCTTGTTCGTCTTAAGATCTTAAACTATATGTATCAACCAAAAGCCAATTGAATGGTCACTTTGGCTTGTAGAGCATCCGCAAGATTTTTCGAAGTAATCAAGGACCATAAATCTGGCAGTAATTATCGGAAATATATATATATATCATGTGTCATGTGTATAAAATTTTAAAAAATCAATCAAAGTGATCAAGGGCCATAACTCTGGCAGTAATTATCGAAAATCGTGTCATGAACTTAAACACTGTGTATTAACTTGAACCTTTAGAGCCGGCTGGTCGGGTAGACGGACTGACCGACGGATGGAGGCGGCGACAATATACGACCACATTTCAATGTGGGTGTATAAAAAACAATCATCTATATAGAATACTGAATAGCACCGTGGACTGTTTTCTAATAATTGTTTGCTGATATCCACAGAATGGAGGCAAGTCAATGACCTTAACTCCTTGGTTCGCTGACGATATTGCTAATACATTTGGCCTTGGAGATATTGATATGTAGGTTTGATCTGATGAAAAAAAACCCGGCCAGGAGCATCGTCTTTCAGACCGAAACAGTAAACCATATGATTGTGTGTCACATATTTTTAGTTTCTGCTATATATAGCACGAGTGAAAAATCATCACCTTTTTTTCTAACATCCATACAGCAGGGTTATGTGCATAGAGTGTGTAGCTTTGTACGACTTGCGTTTAAAAAAGGGATGTGGCATACACTTCTACATAAACCCAGAATAAACAAAGAGAAATTCATTTGATATATAGATCTCTTTTTCACGTTTAGTCCAAGCGACTATCATCTATTCATAACCTTGGCTTATATTTTGTACTTCATGTATATATCATCCACCTTTTATGTGTTATGTAATAAAATATTTATAAATGAATACTATATAATAATAAACTGTAGCCTACAGGGAAGAAATAAATGAAATGGGGTTTAACGTCCTACTGTTCTGCTCCTAATGGGCTAATGAAAACGCGCATACACCATACAGTGTGCTATGGACTTCTCTTATTTCGAATTCCAACTGTCAAGGGTTCTTTTACGTGCACGCCAATCTATACACGGTTTTAGTCCCATCCGAACGACTATGAAAGAAACAAAAATACATATACATATATATAGTTATAGGTACACTAAGATATAGGCCTAGTTACAAAAAAATAATTTCGTGATTGGTATTCAAAAGCTTCTGAGTTTAAATACTTCTTTATTTTTTTCAGCATCAAGCCATCAATATGATGCATTGTTGGGATTGTTTTCTTTTGGTCGATGTTAATGCTCAAGGTGCTTTTAATTTGATCCACCGAGATGCTTTAAATTGGGTCCACTGAAAATTAGAAGGGGGCGAGCAGTAGCCCATCTCCACCCATCCCCTAAAAGATGCCTACGGGCCTGGTTACATTATAAATCGTGATTGTGGTAGCAGATATTTCAAACGCGTGCACAAATAGTGGGCCATTAAACACAATATTGCATGACAGTGACGCGGCGACTTAGCCGTCTTGATAATCTGATTAAAGCGACCTGCCCTAGTTTTATTTTTTTTTAAATAATCAGACGATACTTTCGTTTCTTTTTATTGTTTCCACGATGTTTTTATTTACAACTATATACAGTATTTAAGATCTTACAACATATCTTTAGGAAATTTGTGTTCGGCTAAATATGGACAATAACAATAACAAATAAGCCTTGACTCTAGACCTAAATGTCCTGTTACTCTCCTGATATTGAAAACAAATTAATTGCGTTTTAAATAAACACATAATGTTTATTATTCATTTGGAATAAATCCCAAAATTATATTATATTGGACAGCTAGGCGACCCTACGTACCTAACTCTCTGTCAAGTACAAGTGGGGAAACGAAACCATGCTCGTCTGCAGTGGGATTCCATTAAATGTTATAAATTTTGATTATTCTTGTATCTCGTAAACAAACCTTAAACGCTGATGGAGGGAAACTTAGGAAAACGAGTAGTCGAAAAAACGAAGATATGAGTACAAACAGACAGCGGTCAACACCACTCGGCAGATTCCGTTACTCTACATCTAGATGTAGGGTACAGCTGGAATCTGCTGAGGTTTGCCCAGTGCGGTAAACACACAAAACAATAAATACAGTAACATTATACATAGACAACAACAACAACTTGTAAAACAGATACACGAGAACTGTTTGGGTTGAACTGTGTAAATATTGCTTAAAAATAAGCCAAAAGTTGCCCCTTATCTTAAACATGTCTGGTTTTCAGATCGTTTTCAAACTTCTTGAAATTATTAGGCTAGTCATAATGTAAAACTGTTCAGATTTCGGATTCATTGAAATTATTGTCAGAGCTCTATATAGATAAGAGGCTTTTAGATTTTTTGTTAAGATATGAAGAAAAAAAACCTATTAAACCGAACGGCAATGTTAACAGATTGTAAACACTGTTTTTCGGATAGAGTTTTACATCACTTGCGAAATGGGGGTCGTGGTACACAAATCTGACGGTACCACGGGTTCAAGGACGTACGTTTCTAGGGATATTCCAGTCTTGTTTACTTGACAGTTGGAATTTTATGAAGAGAATGTAGAGACGCCACACCCACTGTATGATGTATACCGGTCTCCATGACCCGGTTGGTACTGAAAAGTCGTTCAGCCCCATTTAATTCTATTTCGTGTTATTTAATTTAATTCGTCTTCCGCCATGATATCTCCACGTGCCTTCCACGTGTTATATACTCCAATAAAACGTCTATTATAGTTTATTTAAGTGTTAAATGCATAAAAGACGATCGAGTGTCCCAAGGAGTGGACGATGTATTTATAGACACCTATCAATTGCGAAACCGTCTATAAATAAATACCTATTAATACATTTATAAAAGCCCATTATGTCTATTCATAGCCATTACGTACACAATGCAATATTACACTACTATTGGGTGTGTAACCATTGCAGAAAGAATAAGGCTTGTGAATCAATAACTGCCAACAGTTAGTTTTTCTCGTTGTAACTATAATTGCTTAGTGCAGTTATAATGGCGTATTTAGGGCTGAGGGAATGGGAGGGGGCACCAGAGGGTAGGATTACACTCTCATTGCCCTTTCTATGCACATAAGTTTGTCATTTGTCCAATTTAAATGATTTTTGCGAGGGTAGCGTGGGTTAGTCCACATGCCTCTTGGTAATACCCTCTTGGTAACAATTGTGGGTTGTAGCAGTTGTAGTTGCACACAATTTCATTTCGAGGGAGTCAGCGTGAGTCCGTGTGTAAGTCACAGGTTTGCTAACTATAGGAGGTCCCGTCCCGGTGTTGGCCCGGGAAAGTTGTCGAGAGAACCACCTGTGTTAGCTTAAAAGCCCCCCCCCCCCCACACACACACTGAAAAAGTTTGGTTAGTTAAGTCGATCGAGTTCAATAGCTGTATCTTCGTATTCCCTGTAAGTAATTATAGCGCCCTAGCGAATATTCACTGCTGATCAGTGTGCTAAGTACGGTGTATTAATTTAGCCGAACAATGATCAGCTGATCCCAGAGATAACTTTACCCTTCGTTTATGGACTCAGACTAGCAATTATTTGCCCATTGACTTCAATATTAAATGGCTGTAACATCACAGGCTGTAGCTTTTTGCTCAACATTCCGTTGGTTCCAATCTTTATAGGCACAATGGGGACAACATTTGGCAATCTCCTCATCATAACTTTGTAGGGGGTTAACCATTTAGATTTTTTGCTACGCGGATTTGAAGTTGACTGGGGTGAAAATCTCACTTCCGACACAATGATTGCTCTGCAGAAGGACACTTTACACCCCCTATCCCTTCGCTGTAATATCATCAGTATTGCCCAAAACTGCTATGAAATTGCAAATTTGATCCCTTTTCTCCAATTCTAGACCAAAAAGTCAACCCAAAAATGCAGGAAGAGGGGAGAAAAAAAAATTAAGGGAAAAATTGTCTATTTATAACTCGCACTACATAATTACTAGTCTTAGTCCTCTATCAC